ACCCAACGGCACATCTACGAACTGCAGCGTTCTGATGGCCCGTTTTTCTCCTGTGGAGCAGGTAGTAGGTGGGAAACCATGACTTTTTGGTTAACCACTGCAAGACCAAGGCTGTCCAGGGGGCCGGAGACTTGACCAGACTGAGTGGTGTGGCCTGAGAGGCTGGCAGCATGGGGAAGCGCTTGAATCAGCCTCATACCTTGCCAGCAGACCCTGTGGGGTGGCCCTGCTCCCTGGAGGGATCTGGACTCGGAGGCTCAACACTGAAGAGGAGGACTTATCCATGATGTCACTGTTGTTAGGTGCCATCTAGTGGGTTCTAACTCATAGCGGCCCGATATGCCTGTCCTGTGCCATCCTCACCATGGCTTATGACCAAGCATCAGACATTTGGAGCTGGCCAAATAAATGTGGACTCAGGCACAGGCAGGCCAGGCCATGGCACAAGCTGAGCATACCCTCCTCCAGGGCAGGGTCGAAGGGAGTGCATGGGACAGGCCTGGTGATCTGTGATACCCATGCACACAGACAAAGGGTGAGGGGGACATGAGAAGCATGGGCCCGTGGGTGGGCTTTTGTCTCGTTTTTTTCCGTTTTGCTATGTTTCTGATTCGAGGGGAAAAGGAAGTCCACCATACAGCATGCTTTTTTGGGACCGAGGGTCCTAAGATCTGGGTACCAGCACCAAATCTGCCACCAAGGTTATTGGGGCGGGGTGGGGGAGTGGTGGAAACCATGTAGCTGCTCTGTGCCTCAGTGTGTTGTTCTCCCCCTCCCCCCACTGCTGAGACTGCCCCACCCCCCATGCACTATGGAACCAAACTGCAGATGCACCACCCCGAAGTTCACTTGGGGTCAGACTGTTGTGATTCACAGGGAGAGAGGGGAGGCTTACTAGTGTCAGAAACCCACAGGGGCAGGTCTACCCAGTCCTGGAGGGTAGCAATGAGTTGGAATCCACTTGATGGCAGTGAGTTTTTTTTTTTTTTTTAAAGATCGCCAGGCCTTTCTTCCAAGCCTCTCTCAGTCTGGAAGCCCCACAGAAGCCCCCTTAGTGCAGACTCACGCAACAGCCAGCCTTCAGGAATGCATGAGTAGTGGCGCCTGGGCCAGAATGGAAAGTGTCCCTCTGGGGTGATGGAATTCTGTCACTGGGATCTTGCTGCCCCTGTCTCATCTCAGTTTCGTTTGTTAGGTGCCATGGCGCTGGCTCCGACCCCCTGACTGACCAATCACAACTTTGTGCACAGCAGAAGTAAGCTGCCCTGTGCACACTGTTTTCACTCTGGGGCTGTGCTTGTGCCCACTGTCACAGCCACACCTCTACCAAGCGTGACCACCTTTTTTCAGGGGCTGGTCCCTCCCTGCCTCAGTTTATCCATCTAAAGCAGGAAATGACACATCACCCGCCTAGTCCGAAGCTGGCGCGCCCAGGGACTGAACTCTTCCTTACCCTTCCTGTGCTCTGGGACTGCTCCTCTCTCCTGCGTTCTTCCGGCTGCCAGCTGCACCTGCAGGACTGGCCTCGGGCCTTCGTTGCAGCATCCGGCGACCCTCCTCGCGCAACACCGTCAGCAGTAGGCCTCGCTGGTTCCAGGGCACGTAGGCCTTGGCAGCGAGCAGGGCCTCCTCCGGCCGTAACTGGCAGGCGGTGACATAGTCCAGCGCGCCCAGGAAGGGGCTGCCATCCAGCACGCGCAGGAGCCCGCGGCCGCACAGCGCGCGGACGCAGCCGCTGGGGTGCGGGGCGCCCAGCTCCACCACCGCCTGGAAGTCCTCCCGGGCGCGCCGCGAGTCGCCCGCGTGCAGCGCGCAGAAGCCGCGCAGCGCTAGCAGGGGCGCACGGGGCACGGCGGCGCTAGGGCCGGGCGGGCCATCCTGATGGTCGCCTGGCCGCAGCAGGCGCTCGCACAGCGTCCGCGCGCCCGCCGTGTCCCCGGCCAGTAGCAGACACTCTGCCAAGCGGACGCCCAGAGTCGCCCGCGCCCCGGGCGGTGCCACGCGCAGCAGGAAGCGCAGCGCGCCGGTCACCGGGGCCAGCAGCTCGCGGCCCGTGTCCTCACGTAGCTCGGGGCGGCTGCGCACGGCCTCCCGGAACCGGGCGAAGCCCAGGTCTGCAGCCTCTTGCACTCGGGCCCGGACGCGCTCGCGGTCCTCTGCCGAGAGCAGCGCCTGGAAGTGTCTCCGCGCCGCTGCCGGGCTCTTGCGAAAGGCCGCCTGCAGGTCCCTCAGCACGTCCTGGGCCCAGCCATCCAGGAAGAAGGCGGCTGCTGCACGGGTGACCAGCAGGGCAGCCAGGCGCTCTCCTGAGGAGAGAGACAGAGACGTGGGTCCTGTTTGCTGGGCTAGAGCCCCCATCCCCTCCTACAGCCCTCTCTCTCCAAAGCAAAACAGCCGGGTGGTCTCCCCGCAGCAGGGAAGAGTCAGCTGGAGACCTGGTGCAGGACCCGCTGCTGGCCACAGCTTTGAGCTCTGTCCTCTCAGCACAGTGCAACTCAGCCTCATTGCAGGATCAGCCTTGAGGGTATGGGGCTGTATAGCTCTGTCAGAAGCATCCTAGTGGCGCTGTGTGATAAGCATTGGTCTGCTCACCCTAAGGCTGGCAGTTCAAATCCACCAGCCAGTTGGTGGGAGGAGGACCAGGCAGCCTGCTCCGGTAAAGACAGCAGGGGGCTTTGTGATCAGAGTGGCAGCTTGGGCCCAGCCACCTTGTAGGAGTCGTTTGTTCCCACAGTGCCTCTGTTTGGCCTCCTCTGGACTGTGCTGGCACACACCCCTCCTTCTTTGAAAGAGAGGCCAGACCCAGGCAAGGGGCCGTTTGCACCAACCCAGATGGCTCACGCCAGCTCTTTCTGCACTGTCCTGGGGGCATGGAGGGCCACACTCAGGGCAGGGAAGAGCAGACTCCTTCATGCACATCAGTGCCCGGGCCAGGGCCGGGTGTCCACGCAGTGTAGCTCAGCCTTGGCAATCATGACACTGTCATCATGCTGGTTTAGGGCTGAGTGACCCAACGGCACATCTACGAACTGCAGCGTTCTGTTTCGTAAAGAAAGCTGAGCTGCAACATCCCACGAAGGCCCAGGCAGGGTGCACACCTGCGAGAATCAGGAACCACCAGGGCTGGCAGGGGCCTGCGCTCCTGGGCCCCTCCTCTGATTTTACACGCTGGGGAAGTGCCGCTGGGCTAGGTGGATCACAGAGCCCTGGTGAGTCTCCAACCCAGGTCTTTGAACCTTAGGTCTGTAGAGACATTTCAAAGTGCTTTTACATGGGCAACCCCAGTTTTGCAACAACAACATCAACAAGAACAACAATAATCCATCACATCCAAAGAGTACTCCGTGGAGGGCCAGACACCCTAATAAAAGGGTACAAACTAAACCTCCCCTGGCTGGCACTACTGCCAGTATGGGTAGGTGCTACCTCGAAATTCAGAGCCAGGGAGAAAGTCTTTTGCACCCACGAGAACCAGCCAGCCACTAACACCAGGGGTATCCAGTCAATGACCTATCAGTTACTGACACCTGAACAAAAGCAACTCTATCCCGGACTGTGGAGATAGTTCCTGGATCTTCGAGGGCTGCAGAGGAAGGAGAACTCTAGGAGGGGTATTTATTTACACCCCCCTCCCCCAGGAAGCCTCTTCTCCCCACTCCTTCCAAGACGCCAATTATACACACGTTAGGCTTCTTGATAACGGCTTGCAGGCTACTGAGAAGGTTTCCCTTCTCCTCACACTGGCACGAAGATTCCGACGGAGCCATCATCCCGTTTGCCACCTCTTTCTATCTCCAATCTCTTAGGACTTTGTCATTTCAGTTATTGTCACTTCACAAGCTTAGAAGTTTTTGGTTACTTTTCATTTTAGAATTTATGAAACGGTTTAATTGAGCAACTTGGGTTCCATATCTCGTTCTATTTATTATGACCATAATTTCCTTTAGTTTCTGAATACACTTATCATAAAATCCCCCCAATCCACTGCTATCCGATCATTTCTGATACAGATGGACCCTATCTAGGATTCCCAAGGCTGAACATTCTTATGGGAACAGTGACCTGGGAGGGGTGGGTGGGTTTGAGCAGTCGACCTTGCAGTTAGCAATCCAATGCCGAGCCCACAGGGCTGCGAAAATTCCTTTAAAGTTCTTATTTTGCTAATTCTAGTAACTACGTGTCTGTCAGTTTGTCGTACAGTGGTGGCTTGTGTTGCAGTGAGGCTGAACGCGATGTCACCGGTATTTGAAATGCCGGGAGGCCCACCCAGGGTGAACAGGTTCCAGCTGTCCACTTCTGCAGAACTGGCCACTGGAAACCTTATGAAAGGAAGTGGATCATTGTCAGATACTGAAAAACTCGCGAGCAGCCGTAGAGAGGGCCAGCAGACGAGTCCCTCATATTGGAAAGCACTCAAAATACGACTGGGAAAGAGCTGCCTTCTCAACGTAGAACCCGCCATCATGGCTCCGAGGGAGCAGAGCTTTGGGGGCCTTGCTGATAGGACACGAGTCAAAGAAAAGAAATAGCTGTAAACATCTATTAATAATTGGAATTTGGAACGGATGAGTCTAGAAAAATTGGAAGTGAAAAATGAAATGGACTGCGTACCGATCAATAGCCTAGGCATTAGTGAGCTGAAGTGGACTGGTATTGGAGATTCTGAGTCCGCCACGACAAAGGCAGGAGGACTGGCATTTCGTTCTTTGCCCAAAGGACCATGCAAGATCTGTCCTGAAGCCCAATGTCTGTGCTGGGACAATGTCTATCCACGTATGAGTAAATCCAGTCGAAGTAGTTGTTATTCAAATGTATGCACCAACCACCAAACCTAATAATGAAGAAATGGAGGAATTCTACCAGCAGCTTCCGTCTGGAATGGATCAAATGTGCAATCAAGTTGCATTGATAATGACTGATAATTGGAATGTGAAGGTTGGAAATAAAGAGGACAAGTTGTTGGAAACAGATGGCCTTGGTGACAGACATGAAGCTGGATAGAATTTGGCAAGACCAACGACATTTCCATTGCCGACCCCTTTTTCAACAACACAAACGATGACCGGACACCTGGACTCTTCCAGACGGAATACACAGAAATCCACTGACTACATCTGTGGCAAGAGGCGAGAGCGACGTTCATGCCATCAGTCAAAATGCGGCCAGGAATGACTGTGGAGCAGGCCACCGACTGCTCATTTGTATGTTCAGCTTGAAGCTGAAAAAACTAAAACAAGTCCAGGTGAGCCAAGTATATATAGAACTTTGAGTATCTAGTTACCTGATTTTCGAGAACAAAAATCTGTCTCAGAAGAAGTATGGCCAGAATGCTTGCTAGAAGCAAGAATGGCGAGACTTTAACTCATCTATTTTGGACATGTTATCACCTTAGACCAGTCCCCGGAAAAGGACATCATGCTTGGCAAAGGAGAAAAAATAACCACCCCCCAGCAACTCATTGTCATCGAGTTGATATGGACTCATAGTGACCCCTCGCGCCCCTATGGGCTTTCGGGACGGTCGCTGTTTACCGGAGTAGAAAGCTCAGTCTTTCTCTTGCAGAGCGGCTGGTAATTTCAAACTACTGACTTGGCCGATCACAGGAGATGGAATTGGCTGGGACTCAACTCAACTCTCTCTCCCCTGTGGTGGGAAATAGCTGAGCTGTCCTTTCCGTTTCTGCACTTTCCAGCTTCTGCTTTCTCAGGCCACCTCCTCCATCGCTCCTCACTCACCTCACCGCGTCTCTCCCATGAATGAGTAGCTCAGTGGCCAGTCAAGGACTTAAGTGGACTTAGTATACTCAGGCTTGGGGGTTCATTCCCAAATGTTCATTCTGTGGTTTGCTCCTTCCTAGGACGTCTCCTCTAACAATCCAGGAGCTATAGGCAACTTGATTCTGACCCATGCCATCCTGTGGTAGTTACATCATCTCCTGTCAACTTGAGCGAAGGGGTGGAGTCTAGCCCGTCAATCAGGTCATAGCCAATGAGGCTTCTGTGTGGGCATGGCCTTCTCCTGAGGATTCTGGGAACTCCTGTCTTCCTCCCTGGAGGTGGGATACACACTCGCTCTGCTTCCTGTTGACAAGCCACATGGAGCTACGTGGATGGAGCCGGAGCCCTGGAGCTAGAGGATCCATGTGGGGACCCACGCCAGCGCTGAGATACTTCCACCCTGACTTTCCACCCAATGGCCTGTGATCTTCCTGCATTTGGCATCATTGCATGTGTTGCGTGAGTCTGAAGAGGAATTTATCGACTGGTATAGGACACGTGGGCTAATATCAGACTTAGGGACTTGTTTTGGACTGGGCTGGGATATTTTCTCAATAGATGATTGCTCTTTTATATAAAGCTCTTTCTTATACATATATGAGTGCCTATGAATTTGTTCCTCTAGTCCACCTGCACTAACACACATCCCATGCCCGTGAAAATGACAACTTCCTGTGGAAGTGTGACACAATTGGGGGAGTGTCCCCCAGTCAAAATGCTGCAAGTGTGCACATCATACCTGGTTAGGAACTCCTCTTTCAGGGGATCACATTCTCTCTGGTTTCTGTCTACTCTTGTCACTGTCTCTTGGCTTCAACAGTGGCCTTTTCTATTTTGTCCAAATATTATCATGGTTATCCGTGGGCACTGGGCACAGCCAAGTTACTGCACCAGAACTGAACGCCAGACTCGCTTTGCTAGAATGGAAACATTTTGACAAGCTGGGGGCGGGTAGGATATAAAATATGACTTGATTTTGTTTTAATCTTTGTGTTCCTCATTATTAGCCAAGTTTATTCATTAAAACAAAGACATTAAAATGTTCCTTTTTGCCAGTCTGGCGGGTAGGAAATGGCATCTCATTGTTTTAATGTGCATTTCCCTCATTACTGATGATGGTAAGCATTTTTCCCCCAGATTATTATTAGCCATCTGTATTTTATCTCCTGGGAAATGCTTTTGCCAATTCTTCGATTGGAGTTTTCCCTTACTGATCAGCTGGCCCTCTTCACATACCCGAGTTGTGTGGTTGGCCAACGCTGCCTCTGTTTCTGTGTCACCTTTTCCTTGGCTACAGTTTTTATTTTTAAATGTAATTCAATTTAATTTTAAATCATTTTACTGGGGGCTCGTACAACTCTTATCACAATCCATCCATCCATCCATGGTGTCAAGCACATTTGTGCGTGTGTTGCCCTCATCGTCCCCAAAGCGGGTCCTTTCTGCTTGGCCCCTTCCTTTGCTACAGTTTTAGGGCCCAACAGAGCTTTTCATTTAATCAGCACTAATATCCTTTCCCTTTATGATAT